CCCCCACTTAAACCTACTCCACTAAACCTAACCCACTACACCACTACCACCTCCACTTCACCTACTCCTTACCTACTACACACTCACCCTCTTCTATATATAGGAATCATGAATCATTGTAATATATATCAATACATGAATCAATAATACAATTCTTTATTTCTCTTTATACATTAAATTTCTACATCTTTGTTTCAGTGCAGGCTGGCAAAAAGCTATTAACATTTATGAAATGTGACCTTGTCCAGATTGATTCCTTATCATAACTCCAAAATCATCTATGGTGAGGAATGTAATATAATGTGAAAGATATCCAAACCAGTAAGTTATCTGGCACAAGGTAAACGTTTACATCCAATCAAACACTTGGTTCTGACCTCCAAACTAACGAGGGCAAAAACTCATAGCATACGACAATCCTCGTGTTTGCCTTAAAATGAAAGATTTTGTATACCTTGAAGGATGTGTTCCCCATGACATACAAAACCAAGATTTCTTATATGACACGTGTTCCACATCAAGATATAATGATGCTAAGCACTATTGACATCCAAGTCAACAATGAGAGATATGGCATCCTTCATGACCTTGATCAAGCTAACAATGATCAATATTATCAAAAACATTCTCAACAGAAGATTGGAAGAAATCACAACAATTAGAAAGACGACATAACAGATGGAAAGGATAATTTGACTTCCTTTTTCCCCTTATGCAGCTACATGAGACAATGAGAACAAGAAATGATAAGCTATTTAACATGAGTCTTAAAATGCAAAAAGATATGCACAATCAAACCTAGGTTGGGGTAGAGTAGAGGTTATTTTTTGTTAATTGTTAAGTAAATGTATCAAATGATTGCAATCAACACTATGGGTTGCACAATGAATGAATTCTTTCCTCTACCATAGAACATTACAAATTTTCAACAACGAAATGGACCCTAGAAAACAACAATAACTATGTCACCCAATTTTAATATTACTATTACCCAATAAAACTTTACAATATCGTGTTGGTTGACTTTGGTTGACTTTGGCATACACATGCCTCAGGTGAAGAGCATTAAGAATTGAAAAATGACAGAAATAATACTACTACTAATGTTTTGTACCAAAAATAATAATAAGATTAATAATACAAAACAAGAAACACCTAGTTAAAACTAAAACAAGGTCTCTATCAACACCCTCAAGTCATTTTTCAGCTCAAGTAAAATTAAACACATTCATATCTTAGTGAGCTTACAAGGTAGCAACCGAGGAAGAAAAAAAATTACGCATCAAACATGACAAGTATTGACAATAATGTACCCAACTGAACTAGAAAATATCACCTAAACTTTCTTCTGCTTCTACGTGTGGAGTCAAACCCTCAGGATCCTTCATGCTTTCCAACATCTCCACCTTCCGCCTTTTAACCCTACAAGATTTAAATATTCAGAACGCACAAACATGAATATCAATTTTATCATTCTCTCCCTTGCAGGTGATAACTATAGATATGAGCAAGATTTGGATGATATTATCTACTATTTGACTTTTCTAAACCTACATCTTCGCCTTTGCAGATTTAGCTAAAAACATCACATACAAAGTTCAGGTACTTTGTACATCATTCATCAAAAACCATACAGAATTGTAAACTAAAGAAGAAATGAAGGTCAATATATATAGTTTCACATTTATAGATAACATTGAATTCATAAACAAAATTTAAATACTCCAGCTAAATAGCTACAACAATGTAGTGTACAACAAGAAGAACCAGAAGAAGACTAGTGTGTACCCTCTCAAGTGCATGGCACCTGTACACTATATTCATGCCTACAGTACATTAATAAGCTATAGAAGACCTTATCACTACCATATTTGGATTTTATAATATCTAAAATTGTATGTAAAAAGGTTATCTCTAACTTTTGTTGCATTTACCGGAACTGTAAACCCAAACTTAAACATTAAAAAACAAAAAGAAAACATACACACAAAAATAAATAAACAAAAAACAAAAAGAATAAAGAAACCAAGACGGACCACCCTTTGTCAGTTCTAAGCTTTTTCACTATGAAACCAGAATGAATACAATCAAGACCGAACCAAATCAACCCAATTGAATCAGGTTGTTTTGGATTGAGTCACATAGAGCAGCCTAACGAGCACAAGAAAAATGAGGAAGTTTAAGAAGAGGACAAGCACAACAATTCTGATCAAGGAAGCAAGAAAATAATACATGTTGAAGAGAAGAAAAATGGTAAGGATAGTAAGAAGATGAGACAGATTATGGTGATGAAGACAAGATAACGATAATCAATTGAATGATTGGTTTCACGCCTATATTGGTTTTCATTACACACAAACTATCAACTGCAACGGATGCTTGTGAGTTTCAAACCTTAAAGACTATATTACACCTTTGAAGTGTTGTGTTTTTGCTGGTTCTTTGCTCCATGCTATTCTTCTTCTTTTTGATTTCTTATTGTCTTTTGTTCGTTTAGTCCTATTCGTGGCGCATCTTTGTGTCTTAACAAGCACAAACAAGATACTGAAAACCAATCTTCTGATGACAACTGACACTTGTGTCTAAGACCACAACCCTAAGCCATGGCTAGAACCACATAAAATTTGACCCAACAAAGTAATAAAATAAAATAGTTTTATCTGGTACAACTTTAGACCTAATAGAAGAAACAACTGGTACCTCTCAATATTGGGCTTAGAATCATCCTCATCATCATCGTCATCCTCGTCCTCATCTTCTAGGTCAGGCGATATGTCAGAAGTAGAATTCAACTCTGCATCAAGAAAGGCAGCAAAGTCTTCACTGCTTGACAAATGTACCGGAGAATCATTCACAAGACTCATCTGAAATGCCATCCAAGCAATAAGATGACCCCAGTTTCATGCACATAATTTGGAAGGAATGCACAAAAGGAAACGAATGAAGTTATGGGGAAATAAGCATCAATCGAAGCTAAAATTCTTAATTTTGGACCCAGTTCTAGTCCTCCATAACTAAATTCCAATGGAACATAGCCTGTTTTATTGACACATTGGTTTGGAACTAAAGTTCATCTTTCTTTTTATCTTATATAAGAGCACCCATATTTATCCCCTTCATGGGTTGCGACTTCATAATTCATGCTCTCCTAGTCGGCTGTTAGTAAACATTTGTATTAATTGTCAACAAAAATTTTACCCAAGTTCACATTATACAAATTATATACTCCCTCCATCCCGAAATAACAGTCCCTTTTGGGGAATCTAACTTTTTTTTGTAGTACAATTATTGTACTTTAAAAATATTAATTTTTCAAAATTACCCTTTGATGGTACATTGTTTTAAGAATATCAATTGTCATAATTATACTTTTTGCATTGTTAATGAAATTAAAAGAATGACAAAATAGGAAATTCATATTATTTTGGTCTTTGATTTTTTAAAATAGACTAAGATTTTGGGACAATGAAAAATAGAATAAGGTACTAATATTTTGGGACGAATGGAGTATTTATTTTGGTATTCACCTGAACTGACCCATGTTCATCCCTTGCCCCCTAAACTTGAATCCATTGTTCGGTTGAAAAATGCATTTGGTTGTGTTTGGTGGAGTTTTGAAAACTCAATTCCACCCCTTGGTGAGTGTGGTGTATGGTTAGAGTTTTCAAGAATTGATTCCACAACCACTTTTGAAAACACGTCTACCCAGTCATCCTCCCGAATGTCCGGCCGTTTGACAAGAACAGTGTTTGTGTTTTTTTTATTTTTTATTTTTGGCACCTGTTATTTTATATTTTAAATAAAAAATATTTTTAAAATTTTTTATGAGTTTTGAATAGAATTTTGGATTGTGTGTTTGGTTACGAGTTATAAGTTTTTAAATCAAATATCATACGTCACATCAAAAATTTCAAACTCAATTCAAAACTCATTTCAAAACTCATAACCAAATAAAATTTCCACACTCAAATCATAAGTCCAAAACTCACAAACTCAAAATACAACTCTATTCTCAAATTATAATTCTAAAACTCTACCAAAAGCTACCTTTATTTTTTTTCCTTTGTTCTAGTTATGAAACCATTGAACTAGTGGCGGACCCAAAAATCTTAGTTAGAGGGGGCCAAGTTATATACAATTGAAAATAAATTACAAAATTTATTTTATTACATTCTTACAAAAGTTTTGTAGGTATTGTACTAAAATAGTCACTTTTATAAGTATAAAAATTAAATGTTATCATTAAGTTTGCAAATAAATTTCAATCAATATTCAATAGAAATTTACAAAACAAAAAGTATCAAAACAGGATTATAAAGTACTTTTACATATTGTACAAAATAAAAGAATAAAAAATAATAACATATAAATATTTTTTCATAGTCATACTGAGTCATAATTAACACCAATTAAAGACATAATCAAAGGTCATTTTGATCATAACCAAAGCCACCACAAGTCAAAGACCACTTTGAGATATAATCAAACATCATGCATAATGGGACGTAACTAATTTTGATTTAATAATTTGTTGGTCCCACCACATAGTGGTCTATAACCAAACACTATAATGGTTTGTAATTAACATCAATTTAACCTATAACTTACATATGGTATACACTATATGTATTAATTAGGATTTTCAAATGGATGCAGCCCCCCTAGCCACCCCCAGTGTCTGCAGTTGCATTGAACTATGGCCAAACGAAGAAAAATTAAAAAAGCCTAATTATATGTGTGTTATGCATGATATACAAATTATGTAAATTATAATACTCAGATTCGCAAGAAGAGTTACGCTCGGTTTGTTTGGGCAGAAAACATTTTGCCAGAGAAAACATTTTTTTTGATGTTTGGTGGAGGTGGAGGTGGGGTGGCAGCAGAGGTGATGGCAGTGGTTGGGTGACATCGGTAAGACTTTAGTCCAAAAAATGTGTCTTCAGCCTTTCGAAGTGGAAAATATTCCTACCCAACTATGTTTGTTTTTTGTTAGACTTTCATTTTCTATTGTACCAAACGCCAGAAAATATGAAAAAACCCAAACAAACGGATTGTTAATAATGATCTGCATTTCCCAAAAACAAAAGCATGAGAATACTTCATTAGACAGATAGAGAATCAAAATTTATGTATATACACATCAATTACATTGAAGCTTACAGAACTACTCGACATTGCTATCCAAGCAATGGGTCCGACAAGACTCTGTAAACTGTCCCGACATTGATTTCGGTTAGTTTCTACAAGGGTCCAGCAAGACTCCGTAAACTGTCACAACAACTGTTACAACATTGTCTGCTACAACGGTCCGACATGACCCCATAGACTGTCTTCTACATCGGTCTGACACCGCCATCCAGTGTCCTCTACACCGTTATGACACCACCATACAGTGTCCTCTACAACGTTATGACACCCCCATACAGTGTCCTTTACGACGTTATAACACCACCATACAGTGTCTTCACCAATGGTCTGACACGACCATACAGTGTCTCCTATCCTCTTTTATTTTTATGTATTTTCTTGTTTTGTAACTCTCTCCAAACTCAAGTTGGTTAGTTTCTATCCCCCTTGAGTTTGCGGGGGGCTGTTAAAATTCACCTACTACACACCTACCACTACCACCTACTACACACTCACCTACTTCACCTACTCTCCACCTACTCCTCACCTACTCCTCACCTACTACACACTCACCCTCTTCTATATATAGGAATCATGAATCATTGTAATAAATATTAACATATCAATCAATAATACATCAATTTTAACACCATGTATATTCGTGGTTTTGGGACTTTCACCCTGGACATACAGGCCAACTCAATGGAGTCCATGCCCTTTCTTCTTCTAAATATCATATATTTACAATGTATTAAAACATAACCATATTCAATGACAACGAGTAAATTGATATCAAAATTCATCAATCAATAATACATATATTTTTACACATTCGGAATGATGAAAGACATGATGCTCGTAACTGGAGGAGCACTGAAGGATTTGGCAGCACAGGGAAAACTGCTTTGCAGTACAAAAATGATGATTCAGATGATTCTTTGGAGTACCATGATCCTTTGGGATATCAACATGATGAAGAAGAATCTGACTCCACTCTCAATATAATCGCTATGATGGAAGAAGTAGATAAAGATGCGGAAACTGAATACCCGCAGTTTGCAAAGATAAAGGCTTTAATTGAAAAGCGACAGCAGAAGCAGCCTCATTATCTTTTATCTTCATCATCAGCTGTAACCTCTCATTATAATCCTCCACAGGATTCAATGATGGGTCCCCCAGGTTACCCACCAGCAACAGGACACGGTCCTTCAATCAATATTCCTGAAAGGCCTTCTTACACAGGAATACGATCAAATTTCCGACGAGGAGCCAACAACGAAATGTGGAATTTACCATCTGCAATGCATCAAACAGGGGCTATGTTTGTTATTCCACAATCTCTTGGAAGATTTGATGATGCCTTTATGAGATGGGAATCAATCACAAGGTCCTATGTTGCTTCTCAAGGATTTACAGATGTCAGAGATAAACTTCTGTTTATGGAAAATCTTCTTGGAGAAACGGAGAAGTTAATCTGGACACAATGGCGAATGAGGTATGCAGATGAATATGCTAACCTTGTGGCTATAGGCGATGGGAATGAAGGTACACAGAATATTATATCTCAGATGAGAACTGTGTTTACTCTTGAAGACCCCTACCAAGGATCAACGTTGATGCAGGAGGAAGCTTATCGTGATCTCGAACGACTTTCCTGCCGAGATGTGAAGGATATTATCAAGTTTCTAAATGATTATCTTCACCTTGCAACAAAGTCAGGACGGTTATTCATTGGAGAAGAGTTATCCTCAAAGCTTTGGTCAAAAATGCCAGGAGACCTTGGTGAAAGAATCAAGAAAGGATTTGCAGAACGACATGGAGCAAACACAATCGGAGTCGTTCCCCGAATTCTTTATGCTTATAAATATCTGGAAGCAGAATGCAAGAACGCGGCGTTCCAGAAGTCACTTCGAAACCTAGACTTTTGCAGGGAAATCCCTATCCCTGGGTACTACAAGGAGCCAGAAAAGAAGTATGGTGTTCGAAAAGCTACCACCTACAAAGGCAAGCCACATAATTCTCACGTCAGAATTGACAAGAGAAAGTATTTACAAAAGTCAAAACACTGTAAATGCTACTTATGTGGAGAGGAGGGACATTATGCCAGGGATTGCACAAAGGAGAAGAAGAATGTCAAGAGGGTAGCTGTGTTCGAAAATCTGAGTGTTCCTGAAGACTATGATGTAATGTCCGTAGAACCAGGAGATGACGACTCAGATGCAATCTACTCAGTATCAGAAGGGATTGATGATACTGAACAAATCGGAGGAGGTTTGACAGAAACAATTTATATGCTTCGAGAAGCTGATAATGTTTCAAGCTTCATCAAATTGCTCCATTGTTTTTGTTATATTTCTGCATGTTTGTGTAATTTTCATAATGACGTAATCTAATATAGTTGGATGTCAAGATTCATTTGGACTTTTAGTCTTTTTTTTAGCTAGTAAATGTATAAATTTAGTAAGAAAGGCACCAGGGAGTGGCCAACCGTTGTACAAAAAAGCTACAACATTCTATACATAAAAACCTATGGAATTTTAGCCATTTGGGCCTACGTGCTGAATTGTGATAATTTCAATATGTTTTAGTTCAACTTTTTGTTTATTTATTAAAGAAAGGAATTTTCTTATGCTTTTCCTTTTTTTCCCATTAATAGAGAAATAGACAATGACACATCCGCATGCGCACCCAGATATTTTCCTTTTTCCTTAATGAGTAAAAGATAGACAGAGACGCACACCCACACGTACATGACTCTTATATCTCAGCCAAGGAACAAAATTTTGTTTTGTTTTCATCATAACGGTCGAAATGTTTTTGTTTCCTAGGAAACCAAAATGAAAAATTAGTGGAATATTGAAATTCCCTATTTCTAAACATATTGAAACAATGAGTCGTTTCAACACCTATTATGATGTCTAATAATGGTCATTTCTATTTGTGTCTTTTTGTCAAAATCAAAGATTTGATAACAAAAAAATTTGTTAGAGAATCATGA